CAGGTGTGGTGGTGCGTACCTGTAATCTCAGCTACTAGGGAGGCAGAGGCAGGAAAATTGCTTAATCCTGGGAGGTTGAGGTTTCTGTGAGCTGAGATTGTGCTATTGTACTCCAGCCTGGGTGACAAAGCAAGACTCAGTCTCAAAAAAAAAAAAACAAAAAACAAAAAGAAAGAAAAAGGTAGAGATTGACAGACTACACAAAAAGATGAGGGAGACATATGTATGTTGTGTACAACAAGTTAATAAAGACACAGAGATTAAAAGAATGACAACATAATGCCACGGAAGCATAGCATTTAAAGAAGTTTAAGATGGTTGTATTGTCATGAAGGACAAGAAATAATACCAGATATAAAGGGAGACACCACATAATATGAAATGGATAAATTCTTCAAGAAAATGTACCAAGTTTCATTGTTTATACACCTAACAGCAGAGCTTCAGAATGCTTAAAGCAAATAATAGAATTGAAAGGAAAAAGAGAAAAAAAATCCACAAGTATATGTGAAGACATCAATATTTAATTTATAGAACAGAAAATTAAGCAAATAGAAAAGCTGAAAAACAATATCAATAAACTTAATCTAATTGACATTTATAGAACTTGCCACCCAACAACAGCAGAATGCACATTATTTTCAAATGCACATAGGATATTCACCAAGTGTGACCTCTTGGGCCATGAAACATCTTAGGAAATGCAAAAGTGTCAAATTTATGCAAAGTAGGATTTGGACCTTAACAGAATTAAACTAGGAATTTAGAACATAAAAATATCTGGAAAAAAATCTCTGAGTATTTGGAAATTACACAACATTCTTTTGAATAATCCATGGGTAAAGAGAAATTCACAAGGGAAATTAGACTATATATATTTAAAATTAATTAATGATTTTAATTGACAAAAATTGTATATATTTACCATGTACAGAATCATATTTTGAAATATGTGTACATTGTGGAATGGATACATCAAGGTAGTTAACGTATGCATACCTCACATACTTACCTTTTTGTGTGTGATGAATACACTTAAATTTTTCTACACTCTTAGTGACTTTCAAATATACAATATACTGTTATTATCTATAGTCACCTCATTATACAATAGATCTCTTGAATTTATTCCTCCTAAATTAAATTTTAAATCCTTTGTCTAACATCACCCTGACCATTTCTCACCCACCATTTAGCCCCTGGTAATGACTATTCTACTCTGTGCTTTTATGCATTCAGCATTCCTAGATTCCACATATGGTAGCTATTTTTCTGTCCTTGGCTTATTTCACTTAATATATTATTCTCCAGATTAAATCATGTTGTCCCAAATGTTAGTATTTCTTTCTAAGGGTGAGTAGTATTCTATTCTGTATCTATACACCACATTTTCTGTGTATATTTATTCATTGATGGACACTCGGGTTGATTCCATATCTTGGCTATCGTGAATAATGCTGTGGTGAACATGGGAATGCAGTTATCTCTTTGAGTTCCTCATTTCAATTCTGGATATTCCTATGGATACCCAGAAGTCAGATTGCTGGATCATATGGTAGTTATATTTTTAGTTTTTTGAAAAATCTCTATACTGTTTTTATAGTGATGGTACCTATTTACATTCCCCATAGTGTACAGGGTTCTCTTTTCTCCATATTTTCATCAATACTTGTTATCTGTTGGTTTTGTTTTTATAGTAGCCATTTTAACAGGGGTAAGATAATATCTCATTGTGGTTTTTAGTTTGCATTTCTCTGATTGGTGATATTAAGCAATTTTTCATATACCTTTTGGCCATTAGTATATCTTCTTTTGAGAAATGTCTATTCAGATCCTTTGTCCATTTTTTAAATTGGATTATTTGTTTTGTTGCTATTGAGTTGTTCTACAGGTGGTCTCACCACTCTGTTGATCATTTTATTTGCTGTGCAGAGGCTTTTTAGTTTGATGTTACAACATTTGTCTATATTTGCTTTTTTTTTGTTTGTGCTTTTGGGTCATATTAAAAGAAAATCATTGCCTAGAACAATGTGGAGTTGTCTCCACCTCTTCTAGTAATTTCACAGTTTTATATCTTATATTTAATTCTTTAATCCATTTTGAATTTATTTTTATATATGGTATGAGAGAAAATATTTTGAGTTAAAAAAATAAAGATACAGCTTTATCAAAATTTGTGAAATATTGCTGAAGTACTTATTGCATTGAATGGTCATATTAGAAAAGTCTCAAATGTCTCAAATCAGTAATACAAGCTTCCACTATAAGAATCTAGGAAGAAAAGAACAAATTAAAGTTAAGTTAAAGAAAGGAAGTAATAAAGATAAGAGAAGAACCTCATGAAACTAAGTATAGAAAAATAATGGAGAAAATTCATGTAACAAAAGCTGGTTCATTACAAGAAAAATTGAAAAAATTGCCAAATTTATTGCCAGACCAAACAAAAAAAGAAATGATAAAAGAAACTAATGAACAGACATCACTATAATCTGTATGGTTATTAAAAGAGTAGTAAGGGAATCATGAATTACTTTATGTCAATAAATTTGACAACTTGGATGAAATGGATGGCTGGAAAGAAACAAACTGCCAAAAGTCACTTACAGAGGAAATTGAGGTCTAAAGTATATTATATGGATATTGAATATGAAGTTTTAAGCCCTCCAGCAAGGGAAAATTCGGGTTCACATAGCTTCAGCCGAGAATTCTACCAAACATTTAAGGAAGAAATACCAAGTCTGCACAACAGTGAACCTCAATCCATATATTTTACCCTATTCAAAACTTACCTCAAAGTAGATCATAGTCTCAAATGTAAAAATTTAAACAATGCAATATGTAGGATAAAATATAGGAGAAAAATCTGTGTTATATTTGGTTATGCAAAGACATATTAGCAAAAGCATGGTCTATAAAGAAATACAAGATTGAGTGGGCTTTATGGGCCACTTTATTGGCCACTCATTCAGAACTTTTTGTAGAAATCAATAAAGCATTTCTAAAATGTATATGGAAATTCAGAGATCCTGTATCCAAAACAATCTTGAAACAGAAAAAAAACATTGGAAGGTTCTCACTACCTGAAGTGCAGGCTTAAGATAAAGCTACACTTATAAATATAATGTGGTATTATATTTATTAAGGAGAGGCGTATAACTCAGACATGCATTTATTGTATGACTCAACAATGCTGCTTCTGAATATTTACCCATAAGAAATGGGAACATGTACCCACTGAAACACATGTACATAATGTTCATTGCATTTTTATTTGTAATAGCTGCAAATTGGAAAGAAAAATCAACAATGTCCATCTGTGGGTGAACAGATGAACAATTATGCTAGATCCATTTAATGAAATACTAATAAGTAATAAAATAAGACAGAATTCAAAAGCAGTATATATGAATGAATGAATCTCAAAAACTTTATAGTGAGCAAAGCAAGCCAGCCAGAAAAGAGTACATATAACATGTTGTATGATTTCATTTACCTGAAATTCTATGGCAGACAAGGCAAACAAGGGTGACAGAAAGTAGATCTGTGCCTGAGATTAAGATTGTGGGTTGCATAGATTGCAATACAACTTTTTGGTTTGATGAAAATGTCCCATGGCTTCATTGTGATTTTCATTGTATGGGTATTTATATTTGTCAAAACTTGTAGATTTATCCACTTATATCCAATTTATGTTATGTAATACTTTAATAAAGTTAATTTTTAAAATAGTGCATGAGGTATGCATTGTTTTTTAAAGCAGAGAAAATGTTATTTTGATTTTCTCTTTGTTTTCTTGTGCTTTACTAGTATTATTGGAGATATTTCCAAAGAAAAAGTGAACTAGGTTTTTTTTTCTTTTAATTAACACAGTGGAAACAGTGACATCATTTCAGCTGTTGTGTGTGTGTGTTTTTAATGAAGTTAACTTCACTAAGTGACATGCAGAAATAGTTTTAAGCCTGGTCATCAGCACTGACTCCTAAGAGCAAGAAGATGTTCTCATATTTATTTTAGTTTATACAAAATGTTTCACATGAAATTAGCTCCTGATTTTATGACTAAGAAAAAGAAAGAGACTTATAATGTATTGTTTTTATCTCCAGAAGATAATAGATTCTGGACATTTCTTCCCAAAAGCAGTTTCTTAAAGTCCACCTATATTGACATAAGTGTCAGATCCCTCATCAGTTCCAGGATGCAGAAAGATAATTTTCTCTTTCCCTGAGTTTGCATCTTTTCCCACCACATTACAAATGTCAGTTTATGGCAGAAATAGCAATCTTCAATAATTATGTTAAAAAAGTCATTACAAGAAAAGGGCCCTTTTCACATACCTAATTAGCCTAGGTTGTTTGGTTTAATGAAAACCCTCCATGCTGCTGCAGATGGACCTTTCTTACACTGCTTATGAGATTGTGGATTGACAGATTACATGAAAACCAAATGGAATGTAGTAGGGGCAGCAGCAGAAGGGAGAGTTGGGTTGCCTCCCCTGATCTCCTGATCAAAGGACCTAGATAAAGCTACTGCTCACATACAGAGTATGTTTGGATTTATTGAGTCATCTCTTATTTTTGAATTTGCCAAAACAGACAGACCCAGTTTTTTTGCAAACAAATTGCCATTATTTTGTGTAATAGAATTGGAACAAAGCGACTGCCATTTTTATGTTATTGGGTTGCCATAAATCATGTGAAAGTGCACACCTTTTCCAACCTTGACCACTTTACTGCCAGAACTTCTTTTAATCTTATCTTATATTCTCTTGATTTCTTGCTCTCTAGTTGGAAAACCACTTGACCACTGCTCCCATGATCTATGTGATTTCTTTCTTTCTGATTTGGAGTCTTCCCAATATCAACCCTACCATTAAAAAAAAAATTAATGATCTAGATACTTTGAACTTTTCTAATTAACTTCTATTTGTGTCCTGAAATATTTAAAACAAAATATTTGGAAGGATTTTGATGTTTAAACTCTTGTGCTATTTGTATTTGCAGTTCCCTGAATGCGGTTTCTATGGAATGTATGATAAGATCCTGCTTTTTCGCCATGACCCTGCCTCTGAAAACATCCTTCAGCTGGTGAAAACGGCCAGTGATATCCAGGAAGGCGATCTTATTGAAGTGGTCTTGTCAGGTAGTATACTTTTATACTTTTGCTTTATCCATAGAGCAGAAGTTGTATTTGAAGAATTCTTAGGCATATGTTTTTTAAAAAACATAAAAACCATACATCAAACTCAGCTCCAAGAGGAAACGTTGGAGCTCTGTTCACATGAGAAAGGGAAACAAAAAGTTTCCCTTAAATTGGCTGTGTCTACACCCAGTACTGTTCCAGTCATGTTTCCTGACTTATTGTTTCCTACTGCTCCCTTCTCAGCCCCTAGCAACATACAGATGGTGTCATTCAGCACCTTGAATCATTTGGACAGCAGCAAAAGCAAACAAGAAACTCACCAGGCCAGGCGCGGTGGCTCAAGCCTGTAATCCCAGCACTTTGGGAGGCTGAGGCGGGTGGATCACGAGGTCAACTGATCGAGACCATCCTGGTCAACATGGTGAAACCCCGTCTCTACTAAAAATACAAAAAAAATTAGCTGGGCGTTGTGGCGTGCGCCTGTGATCCCAGCTACTCGGGAGGCTGAGGCAGGAGAATTGCCTGAACCCAGGAGGCGGAGGCAGAGGTGAGCCGAGATTGCGCCATTGCACTCCAGCCTGGGTAACGAGAGCGAAACTCCATCTCAAAAAAAAAAAAAAAAGAAACTCACCAACAGTGAAGCTAAATTAGCTGTCAGGGCTACAGATGTACAGAATGTGTGGAAGCCAAGAAATAACACCAGGGTTAAGAAGCCATTGTCTTATTAAAGTTAAAAGTCCAGTAGCATGAGGTAAGCCAAGGCCAAGGAGGAAGCCAGAGCCCAGGAGTTAGAGCAGGTGAGCTCATGCCATGTGACACTAGTTAACTCAGTCCCTGAGAAGTGGCTGCATTTGCCTTTGCTCGCATTTGTATTCCTTGTTTAGGATTTGGAAGTTAGTAAAAGGACTGTGCCTATCCAAACAGATTTTAAAAAGGATGTATTTTTACTTTTTAAAAAAAGCACCAGAGAATAACTGTTAGAGTGGAGATCCTTACAATGATGCTCAATGGAATGATAATGATGTCCAAAATTTTTACTGTTTATTTTTGTTAAAAAGAGAGTAATAATTGAAAGCTTGGATTACCTTGCTCTTTTCTCCTCTCCTACCTTCTTTGTTTACTATCTCTTTGACTACAGGAAGTCTGGTAGCATTACAGATTCTCAACTTCATTTCTTCAAGTTCCTCCACTCGATTAGAGCCCCATACATGGGTACACTGATTATAATTCAGTTTATCTTTGTTTCACTCACTTCGCTTTGATTCAATCTAGTTCTCTTTTTGTCTTTATTGTTTGCCTACAGTTGTGCAAGGTCCTGGGATTGCCACAATTTTATTGTGTAGATGGATCCTATAAAAAAACTTTTATGCTAGATAAAAGTAATTATTTTTCTATTGTCTATAGGATTGCTAGTTGTTAAACAAACTATAAAAGCAAAAGCTTTGATTTTTTTTAATTACTTTTTTTTAAGAAGTCACTGCTTTGTCTGGGTTTTCCTTTGTCCTTTCCTTTGGCTCTTTTGACATTTGCTAACTGCACCTCACCTCCTGAAACCAAGGACTAGACATGTTGTTTTCTGAGTTTCCTGTTTCTGAACACTAAATTAATTATTCAGGGAAATCATGCCATAATTCATATTAAACTCATAGCCAGGCTGCTTGGTAAATAATGTAATATGTTTTATGAGTCCTATTGCCCTGTGGCAATGTTCAGAAATACATGAGGATTTTTAATATTGCATTTCTAAATATGATGTATTATTCTTTTCGTTTTACTTTTGTTATCAAGCACTTTAGAGCAGTAGCAGACAGATTGAATGCAACCTGTGTGTGGGTGTATTTATGTAGGAGAGGACTGCTTATTTGCATGTTATCCCAGCATTAATGAGCCAGACCTGCTCTTCCCTGGTGTTGACCTGATGTAGCCCTCTAGAATTCCCTTGCTGCATGAGAACAGCGTTCTGCTTTTCCTCTCCCATCTTTGCAAATTGAGAACTTCATCGTGTGTATGCCCCATCTCCCCTGCCATCTACCCTTTATGTTCCATGTCTCCTGTTTTCCTGGCTAACAGTTGTTGAGAGGGCATTCAAGAGCAGCCTGTTTTTTTTTCCTGTTCTCCCAGCACCAGACTCCAGAAGGGCTCCCTTAATCTTACCATCTATTTTGCTGGTATTTAAAAGGAGCTATTCTGTAACAGTTTAATTCTCATTTTGTATGACATAGTTCCACTTTTCCAATGTCATTGACCCTTTAAATTATTTAATTATGTTTATCAATTATACACACACACACTTAATTATGTTTAGATCTCCTGAACTTACTTATAATCATCAGCAGCAATATTCTTCCAGCTTCTCTTCCACTCTATTGCTTAGCATTGTGATTTGCTCAATAAATGTTTATGTTTAAAATAGTTTTTTAAAAACCATCCTACTACTCTGTATTACAACCCTACTCCTTACCCATATTTTTTACCTCTTTTCCCTTAGCCTTTTTAGGCCCTGATGTTCCTTTCTTTTTCCCTGTCTTTCCTGAAAGTGATGCTCCATTTCCAAGAGGCTTTGCTTATTTTCCTCCACTCTTAGTTGAGGAGTTGAGTAATTTGGCCCTCTTCTGATTTTTCACTGCAATTTTTGGTTATATCCTGATCCAGCTACCCTCTAGTCCAAGATAAGTCTATTTTAATTATTTATGTCACCTTCTTTGCAGTGAAGTGATTTATTTTCATTGAAGACTCATTTCCATGTATGTATGGCAATAATCAGTGTTAGATTCTTAATCTTACTTTCCATTTAATGTGTCCATTAATCCTTGGTTTTGTTAATATGCATGTTTATGATTCCTCAGATTCCTTATTATTAATTTTTGTTATCAGTCACCCATAGAGCCATTCCTGACTTCACCAATAAGACAAGTCTCCAGCTTCAAAATCTCCACTTGGTAGCACTCCTCTTCTCCTACTCTAGCTTGTCCATCTACCAAGCACATATTCCTGTTCCCTGTCTTTTTTACTGTATTTTAATGACTAAATGCCTACCATTGTTGACTACATTTTTCCCTTTCTTTTTTTCTCCACATAGCATGTGGCTCATTATATCCATGTCTTACATCACTTTGGTGCATTTTCACTGACCTTATATACACAGGCAGGGCCTGCAATACCTGTTACTAATCTGAATTGCTTTACCACCCATTTTTGCCATTTCTTTCCTGAGCCACATAGGCCACACAGTTCCCAGCCTACCTGACTAAATGCAGATCCAACTTTCACCTGGCCTAACCATTGTTCAACAGTCTTTCCCCCACCTCATCCTTTTGTTATCCATAGATATGAGGTTCTCAATAAACATGTATGAGTTTATTTATTGACTACTGGCTACGAGAATAATGTTACCACATATACAACATTTTGTAAAAATATTGATTTTTTTGTAAAAATATTATTTCTAGATATATTCTCAAAAGTGAACTTCAAGTCTTCAAGTCTTCTTGCTATGCATTCTTTTGGTCCACATAAGAGAAATTAGGGTGTATCAAGTGAGCAGGATTGTCCCATGCTATGATTTGAGGCAAGGCAAATGATAGCAACTAGGACACTTCAGGCCATAGGTGCAGGGGAGCTCGGATTACATATTCACTCCTGACCCAGTTCTGGAGGAGGACAGGATGGGTGCTGATTGCCCTGAGACAGATGCTATTTCCTAGAGGTATAGTTAAGCATCAGTTTCACCAAAACTAGAGTAGGTAAAGGAATAAACAAGCTGTGGACATTTTCCTTCTGAAGACTGTAGTTTTACTGTTAAATTTTATTCAAACTTTCTTTTTCCTTATCACAAATTAAATTTTACTCTGTAATGTGACATAAAGCTAACCTGGTTCTTTTTATGTTTAACTAACATTCTACCAGCAGGAACATTTTCTGACATAGGACTGCAGCAAAAATGAGAGGAAAAAAATAGGGAAAACACTTCAAGGTTAAATACTTTTGTTTATTCAGACAACATCAAGAATTTTTTTTCTTTGCTTTTATCATTTTCTGCTCAGACTTTTCATCATCTTTAAACTGCTTTGGGAGTGAAAACTAACCAAGCTACTTCTGGCTAATTTGCTGATTTTTTTTCTCCCTCCCTTTCTTTTTGTAAAGCATGACTAGTGTGAGCTAGTATATTTAAACACAGTAAGCCAGGAAAAGATTGCTCATGAGTAGATAGATTGGGTTATTGAGGAAAAAAACGACAACTGCATGAAAGTTCCTTACCCCACCTATCCACACTACTGGCAGATTCTCTGTCTGTTAGACAAAGGACTCGAATTCTTACTATTGTTACAAAGTAGGAAAACACTGAAAATGGACATTTTTTTTTACCAAAGCCAAAGTCAAGTTCAAGTATATGGTACTGAACTGTACAATAAAGGTCATGGAATGTATTTGAAGCCTTCTTCGATGGACCTCTATCAAATCCTGATAATTTAGCCTTAACAGATCAAATTAATAATAGGACTGCATTTACACGACTCAAACTCTTTTTGTTTGGTTGGTTTTGGCTTGGTCTCTAATAATTATTAGTGTGTATATGTGTGTGTTTATGTACCTATGGGTGTGTATCTTATAGGTAGTTAAATAGTGACTAAAAAAGTACTACAAGAATTTCTCAAATAAAGTCACAGTTTTAAAAGTTTGAGAGATATTGAATCTTTTCTTCTTTCATTTAAGGTTAAAAAATGATGTTTTTCTTGGGCTTCTTTCATTATGGTTTTACAGTAGATTATCTTGTATTATAACTTTTAAAAAAGCTCTTTGTACATGTAGTTATTTGGTCCTCACTATCAAGAGAAGGGAGCTCCATTAGAGAGCTCACACCGTAGTCCAGGCAGAAGAGGTGTGGGCCTGTTCTCAGGTCATGACAGAAGAGCTAAAAATGAGGCAGAGAAGTCAAGAAATATTTAGAAGTAAAATTAAACAAATATAATAACCATTTTGATGTAGCTGATGAAGGAGGA